TGACATTTTTTTAATACAAGAATGTGGATTTCTTTTTCACACCTAAATGTGAAATTTTGAACATACTATACTATGACATTTTTATCATACTATAATATGACATTTTTTTCATACAAAAATGTGGATTTCTTTTTCACACCTAAATGTGAAATTTTGAACATACTATACTATGACATTTTTATCATACTATACTATGACATTTTTTCATACAAAAATGTGAATTGTTTTTTTCACACCAAAATGTGAAATTTTGAACATACTATACTATGACATTTTTATCATACTATAGTATGACATTTTTTTTCATACAAAAATGTGAATTTCTTTTTCACACCTAAATGTGAAATTTTGAACATACTATACTATGACATTTTTATCATACTATACTATGACATATTTTTTTATAAAAAACTTGAATTTTTTTTTCCCGCTTAGAAAGAAATTTTCAACATACTTTACTATGACATTGTTTAAACATGCTATACTAGATCATTTTCTTTATTACACAACAATTTGAGATTTTTATTAACCCTTAACATGACATTATTTTGGTATAGTGGTTGAAGTGGGATTCGAACCCATGGCTGTTGCAGTTACCGTGGTCTCCATGCATGCGCACTTATCCGTTCAACTATCTGAGTTTACTAATCTCTGGTTTTCTTTTGTGAGAAGCTATACCAACACATTCTATAATGCTATACTATGACATCTTTTTTCATGCTAAAATATGAAATTTTGAACATATTATACTATGACATTTTTATCATACTATACTGATATTTTTTTCATACAAAAATGTGAATTTCTTTTTCACACTTAAATGTGAAATTTTGAACATACTATACTATGACATTTTTATCATACTATACTATGACATTTTTTTAATACAAGAATGTGGATTTCTTTTTCACACCTAAATGTGAAATTTTGAACATACTATACTATGACATTTTTGTCATACTATACTATGACATTTTTTTCATACAAAAATGTGGATTTCTTTTTCACACCTAAATGTGAAATTTTGAACATACTATACTATGACATTTTTATCATACTATACTATGACATTTTTTCATACAAAAATGTGAATTGTTTTTTTCACACCAAAATGTGAAATTTTGAACATACTATACTATGACATTTTTATCATACTATAGTATGACATTTTTTTTCATACAAAAATGTGAATTTCTTTTTCACACCTAAATGTGAAATTTTGAACATACTATACTACGACATTTTTATCATACTATACTATGACATATTTTTTTATAAAAAACTTTAATTTTTTTTTCCCGCTTAGAAAGAAATTTTCAACATACTTTACTATGACATTGTTTAAACATGCTACACTAGATCATTTTCTTTATTACACAACAATTTGAAATTTTTATTAACCCGTAACATGACATTGTTTTGGTATAGTGGTTGAAGTGGGATTCGAACCCATGGCTGTTGCAGTTACCGTGGTCTCCATGCATGCGCACTTATCCGTTCAACTATCTGAGTTTACTAATCTCTGGTTTTCTTTTGTGAGAAGCTAAACCAACACATTCTATAATGCTATACTATGACACCTTTTTTCATGCTAAAATATGAAATTTTGAACATATTATACTATGACATTTTTATCATACTATACTGATATTTTTTTCATACAAAAATGTGAATTTCTTTTTCACACTTAAATGTGAAATTTTGAACATACTATACTATGACATTTTTATCATACTACACTATGACATTTTTTTAATACAAGAATGTGGATTTCTTTTTCACACCTATATGTGAAATTTTGAACGTACTATACCATGACATTTTTATCATACTATACTATGACATTTTTTTAATACAAAAATGTGATTGTTTTTCACACCTTAATGTGAAATTTTGAACATACTATACTGTGACATTTTTTTCATACAAAAATGTGGATTTCTTTTTCACACCTAAATGTGAAATTTTGAACATACTATACTATGACATTTTTATCATACTATACTATGACATTTTTTCATACAAAAATGTGAATTTTTTTTTTCACACCAAAATGTGAAATTTTGAACATACTATACTATGACATTTTTATCATACTATAGTATGACATTTTTTTTCATACAAAAATGTGAATTTCTTTTTCACACCTAAATGTGAAATTTTGAACATACTATACTACGACATTTTTATCATACTATACTATGACATATTTTTTTATAAAAAACTTTAATTTTTTTTTCCCGCTTAGAAAGAAATTTTCAACATACTTTACTATGACATTGTTTAAACATGCTACACTAGATCATTTTCTTTATTACACAACAATTTGAGATTTTTATTAACCCGTAACATGACATTGTTTTGGTATAGTGGTTGAAGTGGGATTCGAACCCATGGCTGTTGCAGTCACCGTGGTCTCCATGCATGCGCACTTATCCGTTCAGCTATCTGAGTTTACTAATCTCTGGTTTTCTTTTGTGAGAAGCTATACTAACACATTCTATAATGCTATACTATGGCACCTTTTTTCATGCTAAAATATGAAATTTTGAACATATTATACTATGACATTTTTATCATACTATACTGATATTTTTTTCATACAAAAATGTGAATTTCTTTTTCACACTTAAATGTGAAATTCTGAACATACTATACTATGACATTTTTATTATACTATACTATGACATTTTTTTAATACAAGAATGTGGATTTCTTTTTCATACCTAAATGTGAAATTTTGAACATACTATACCATGACATTTTTATCATACTATACTATGACATTTTTTTAATACAAAAATGTGATTGTTTTTCACACTTAAATGTGAAATTTTGAACATACTATACTATGACATTTTTTTCATACAAAAATGTGGATTTCTTTTTCACACCTAAATGTGAAATTTTGAACATACTATACTATGACATTTTTATTATACTATACTATGACATTTTTTCATACAAAAATGTGAATTTTTTTTTTCACACCAAAATGTGAAATTTTGAACATACTATACTATGACATTTTTATCATACTATAGTATGACATTTTTTTTCATACAAAAATGTGAATTTCTTTTTCACACCTAAATGTGAAATTTTGAACATACTATACTACGACATTTTTATCATACTATACTATGACATATTTTTTTATAAAAAACTTTAATTTTTTTTTCCCGCTTAGAAAGAAATTTTCAACATACTTTACTATGACATTGTTTAAACATGCTACACTAGATCATTTTCTTTATTACACAACAATTTGAGATTTTTATTAACCCTTAACATGACATTATTTTGGTATAGTGGTTGAAGAGGGATTCGAACCCATGGCTGTTGCATTCACCGTGGTCTGCATGCATGCGCACTTATCCGTTCAGCTATCTGAGTTTACTAATCTGTGGTTTTCTTTTGTGAGAAGCTATACCAACACATTCTATAATGCTATACTATGACACCTTTTTTCATGCTAAAATATGAAATTTTGAACATATTATACTATGACATTTTTATCATACTACACTGATATTTTTTTCATACAAAAATGTGAATTTCTTTTTCACACTTAAATGTGAAATTTTTTAACATACTATACTATGACATTTTCATCATACTACACTATGACAATTTTATTTATATAAATTACTCTTCAGATGATTCTCGTAAAAGTTAACCTAGCTGTTATTCTTTGACAGATAGGCTGACTCTATGACATTAAGGCCTGCTTGAGATCTAAAGACTGTGACACATGGTTTAAAGATGATCTTGGCCTGTGCAGACAGTAGCTCATATATGTCTCATGAATTATTGGTTTAAATATCATACTTAGGTCACAGGCTGAAATTGTTTAGGTAAGTCACAAAAACACACCATTTGAGCAGTAAGTGAAATATACAGACTAGTAGAATAAGACAGCACATATGGCAGCTTGACTCACTCTGAGGAGTGTGAGCAGCTGGATGAAACACGAGGACCTCTGAGTCAAAATGCTACTCTTGTGCATCCTGTGAGGATTCCCCTGAGGCGTCTTGGCAGATTGTGAGGAAACCCCAGGGCAGACCCGAGACACAAAATCTCCCAGCTGGCCTTAAAAACATACTCTGGAAATTCAACAAGCAGCCTGAAAATGACATTTAGCATGCCTCGGTTCCCCATTTTGCAGCGCAGTGCTGCCCTGAACAAAAAAAGAAAAAAGAAAAAAAAAAACAGCCCAATGCATCCAAATGGTTTGAAATAATCACAAACCAAAACATTAAAGGTGTTAATGCACCTTGTTCAATATAACCACTTTAAATTACCAAACCCCTTCATAAAGGAGACTCCCTTAGGATCAATTAATTCTGCGTGTGTGTGTTGGCAGTCATTTTAAGTGCATTCATCAGTCAGGCAGGTATGAAATGAACCTTTTGATTGAGCACCTACTTAATGTTTTTTTATGACAGAGTAAGTTCAAAAGGCAGCTGTTTTCATCAGTTTAGAGCCTGCATTGATTGGACCTCACGCTATAGCGCTTCAATTTGAAGTTCACTGCTTCAAAGTGTCAGCTCTGTGCAAAATAACACAACTCTGAACTTGTTTTCAAGCTTCTTTCTGCATTTTGAACATAAAGCAGTACTGACACCAGCAAGAACATTAACAACAAAGTGAAAGCGTGATATTTTTATCCCCGAAGACGTTTGTTTTTTTTTTAAGATATGAGACAGTATAAGCCACACATCTAAACAAAAATGATAGGTAAAGAAAACCGGGAAAGCGTTGATCACATTCTCCTGTCTTCTTATTAAGAAGAAGTCAAAGTGAGCCTGACAGTAATGAGTTTGCTTCAGAAAAAAAACCTGCACCTCTCTGAGCCCACTGAAGGTTAGAGTCTCGATGTGTGCTTTTAAAGATGTCCCCGAGGAGTAAAAAATCAAAGCAGCAAGCCTAAAGCGGAGCACCTTCTCGTGTCACCTGTCACTGAGTTCCTCTTGTATTACTTTACTAACGGTGCCTTACCTGTCCTGAAATAAAGTTTGAAGGGTCGACGTAAATCCTTTTAAAGCTGCAAATATCTTTCTTCCATTCTCTGCTGTTAACCCACATTTGCAGCAACATGCAGGTCTGAAATAATCTGGCAATTTGTGTTGGTTTTGGCGCCCCCTGTGGACAAAGTTGTCAAGTCCCATAACTCTCATTCTTACTTTCTACCTAGCATGCCTAGTTCTGATAGCAGCATGTATCCTTAGATGAGAATACTTGATCTCAGCTTTACTGTAATGAATACTATTCAGTCTCCAGAGATTTCCCTTCAGGCTTCTGTAAAAACACGTTAATACCATATTCGGAGTCTTGGGATTTCACCTTAAACTATCAAATATTGATAAAAGTGGGCTGAATTGGAAAAAATCAGTGCAAAGCGTGAGATACTGAGTAAAATATTAAATATACTGTATAAAACATCAAGTAACATCCAGTTTAGAGTGAATGCCTTCAGAGAGCCAGTGGTTTTATAGGTCAGCAGCAGATATAAAAATAAGTTAGTGAAGGGTTTCAGGAGATTTATGCTCATGCCTGTCATCATGTGATAGGCCGTCATGTTCTATACTCTTACCTGCCTCCCTGAAGGGATGAGCGGCCCCAGCAGAAGGACGTGTCCTTCTATTTATGTCTGAGTCACTGCAAATGTTAGGAGTCTATCAAACTCTAATGTAGTCCTACTCTACTTCACTGTGGAGCTTTTGGATGGTTAAATAACTCATTCCCTTTCATTTACGATATCTAAAACATCAATTCGGATCAAAATAAAATAGTCTGATATTATTGATGGAAAACAGAATCAGAAACCTCAGCTTACATCAGGGAGCAGACGGTAGAAAAGCAGCGAATACCCGAGCTATCAAAGGCTTTTTATTGCCCTGTTTGTGTCTGACTTGTGTATTTGTTCTTTTAATCAAAGCGGCTTATTATTCCTAACTGTGTTATGTTAGTTTGTACATCTGTTCATTTGTAGCAGGATTGCCAACATTAGAGGTGTGATTACAATGACAACTTTGCAATCATGCAAGTGTAAGTGCTCATGTAAATATCAGGGGTTGACCTCTGGGGTGTTTGGGCTTATCCAACCCCCTCCGTTTTAGAAAAAGGTCATGTACACACATTATCGCTTTTAAATAAAATCCCATCCACACAAAACCGGATAAATATGATATTGACCGCCGTTATGAGCATGCCAGACCTGAAGTTGGCAGTATTTGCCATAATGTTATATCCATTCTATCCAATCAGAGCAAACTTCCCTTTCTCGTCATCACTTCCCCAAACATGAAACATAGCGCCCTGTAGTTCATTCGTGAGGATCGACAAAGAGTCAACAAGACACAAGAAAGATGGAGGAAGGGTTATTTGGTGTAGAAGAACCGACTGCAAAGCACTCCTTCTTCTTTGCTCCTCACAAAAATGTATATTATAAAAATATCTTTGCTGTCCACTGCCTGACATAAACAAGGGCGCATAGTATATGACGTCTATCTTTTAGTTGTTGTGGACAATGACGTTTGGGAATTTAAAACTCTGGTTATCTTTATCCACACGCAAACGCAACACTAGAGTTTTCCAAAAGCACCACTTTAATGACGTAATCCTGTGGTTTCATATGGATGGCAGGCCAAAACATATAAAAATATATTTGTTTTAGTAAATATCCAGCTACGTGTGGACAAGACCTTAGTCTGTTTTTTTATTCCCAGCATTTTGAGCTCTAAAGGCCAAAAGTCTAATCATCATTTTATCCTTATTTCAAATCTCTTCTTTCAACTTCATTTTTTCGCTGTTACATCATGTTTTTGGCCATACGACTCCTAAAACAAAGTTTAAAGAAAATGTCCACATGATTTTACAGGTAGCTGATAACATTTTCTGTTTATATGGTCAGAGTCAAAACCCAAAAGCCTTAAGATACCAATTACAAAACCAACATCCAATGATAGGGTGAATGATCCGACGGTTATGCAATTTTCACAGGTATAAGTGTTGCAAAACCATCACTTTCTCTTTGTCTGTGCTTGGCTTTATTCTCAGTCCCCACTGAAGCATTATTGTCTCGGCTGTATGTGTTCCAGCGAAGGTTGTGATGGATTTCTTCAAGATCTCTGAAAGCCACAAACAATGGAGTTATGAAACCGCCTCTGAATGGAGAGTGACATTGAAGGATTAAATATGCAAGCTTTTTTCTACGAGGGGGTCTGAAAATCCTTGGACATTGAGGTCAAAAGTATAGTCTCATTGCTTCCAGGGTTATATAACTGTACAGTATTGTAAACTTTGACAAACAACATCGCTGCAGAAATGAGGACATACTGTAACTCTGAATCCTCGGTAGTGATACACTTTCTGGAACATTCAGTGTAGTGTAATGGAACCTCCAAAGTAAAGTAAGGTCTTTCAGCACATCTCTTGAGTTTTCCCTGTTTTTGTGTTTTGACGATCACTTGGCAGAGCAACGCCTAATACATTAACTGCAAAAGCTTGTATGGATTTTACAAAAGGTTTACTTGAGTTTAAGTGCAGGGCTAAAAACAGAAAAAAATCCTGTGCCTGAAAATTTTTTTATGGGGGGGTTAATATTGGAAGATATTAATGATTCATAACTAGAAAAATTCACCAAAACTAAAAAAAGGCACATTTTCCTAAAACAGTAGTTGTTGTATGAAGAGTCCCTTGGTGTGTTCGGTGATTTTGAGGTCTCTACTGTGTTACAGTGGAGCTATTGATTTTTGTTTGCAGCGTCTTGCTCTTGTATCGTAATTTGCAGACGATCCCTGCGCACTCGCCCAGCTACCGGCTGCTCATAGAGATGAGTATTATTCATCCAGCTCGAAGAACGGCTTGATTTTGTGAAACAAATCAGTTTTTGATTCTTGTAGCGAGTTGTCTGTTCTATTACGACATAAAAGAGGCATCATTTGTGTTTAGACAACGTTTCGGTATATCTGTGAATATCTTTCCAACTTTTCCGAACTTTTCCCCACTGCTGCCATTTATAAGCTTTCAGGCACAAGACACACAAAAACAAGCACCTGGCTCTTTCAGTTTTCGGCACCAGCTACCATGAGACTTTCCATCTTTTCCAGCCCCTTCCAAACAAAGCCCAGCTTCCAATATCACAGTTTCTTCTCCTGGATTGACGTACCTCGCATCAATCATTTGAAATTTGCTGTTTCCCCGCTCGCTTCTTCGGCTTCTTCTTCTTCTCTGGCAGGATGTATGCTATCCAGCGTAATGCTGTTCTCTACCACTCATATTCAGATCTAAATAACTAGGGTTTCTTTTTCTTTTTTTTTTTGACATGATTTAGAGAAAAAAAAAAAAATCCGGAGCCAGATTTCCCGGCACCATGCCAGGAGTCTTCAAGTCCTGTAAGTGGAAGGTGATGCTTTGAAAAGGTCTGAACATTGGTCCTTGGATCGGTACTGTGATCAAACATCTAAACTCAAGACTAGATTGTACATTTAATATCAGATAGTTAAATACTTTATATCTCAAGGCTAATGTAAGAAGCAAAATACACATTTAAATTCTGCAGTAGATTAAAAATGCTTACTTTTTTGTTAGTTTTAGTTCATGGTATGAAGAAACTTTTTGTTGTTTTAAGTGGACACCCAATCTATTAAAGGGAAAACTCAACACGGACGCCCTTTTGTCAAACTTTAGAACCACAGATAAGATGTTTTGCTACACATGCACAAGAAACCATCAGTGGAAAGTTTGATTAGCACATCACCAAATGTTTTGTGAGAAAAAGGCCAAAAAAAAAAAAGGAGAAAAAAAGTCATCCCCATGTGGTCCTCCCAAAGGTCATGGCCCGCCTCTTATTAAAAATCTCCCTGGTTATCTCTCGTCTCAGATGATAGGTGTACCACTGACATTCATGCTCTCAGGGCAAATAGTAGAAGACATACTGCAGCTTTGGATATGAGTCTGACAGCTCAGTCAGCGGTTGATGCTATCCACTCTAATGAGAGACAAGCTCAGGCCAAGACGTGACTTTTGATTTGTCTCTCCACTATGATTTTGACGGGCAGCTCCGTAGTCTCATCGACATTAGGAAGCTGCCACAAAAGGCTGTCTTGAAAGTCATTCGATCGGAAAGTGATGCCGGCTCAATTGGTACCGCAGGCATCGAGACACTCCCTCATTTGCCCCTGGCTGACTGCCCTCAGGGCTTGTCTGATGCTCTCCCAGAGCAAACTTTTTATATGAAGTGACATGGAAACTTAGTTAGGTAAACACTTTTTTCTAAGGAGACCACTTCAGCTTCAAAAGGAAGATAAAAAATAAATCTAATTTTGTTTGGTTACCTGTCGGAATAAAACAAAAGACTTTACGACTAAAACTACTTTGTATGGTCAAAACACTTTAGAAGACAGGAGAATTACTGACATTCAAACCCTGACCGTCACTCATCCCAGGAGTTAAACATGGCTGACCTTTTAATGAAGGAACTTTTAACTCTTTTAAAAAGTCTTCTTTTACTCAAACATTAAATTAATAGACATCTTTTGTTCGCCCGCTGACTTACTCAGGATATTCAGATTGCCTATGACTCGAGCTGCTCTTCAAAATCAAGATCGTTTATATTTGTTGTGGTTGAAAGTTGAGTCCCTAACTTTTACTGTTCCCTCTTTTATCACATCAGCAGAGTCACGGATCCATCTGCTTCTGGACAAGCGAACATGATGGACTTTTAAAGGAGTATAGGCCGATGAGCAGGGGCGTATCCAGGCTTTTAAACTGTGGTGGCCCAGCCAGTGCAGTATGATGTAGAGGGTATGTATATATAAGGCATACGAGCCCAAACACTAAAACTGTGACACTTTGTCTGCTTTGGATGGCTGTGTTTGTTAATCATATACGAATACATATTTTTCTAAATGGTATGATGTTTCTTTTTGTTTGTTTGTTTTAACATAAAATATTTATTTAGTCCTTTTTGCATCTCCTAACAAGTATCCTATAGTACAAAAAAATAAAACCACAACTTAAACTGATAATAGCAAAACTAAAACATTTTAAAACAATTAAAATCAAAGAAACATAACACTATGAAAAAAAAAATCAAAACTAAGATAGATTTGAGGGAAAAAAGTCAAAATAAAGCAAAAAGAAACTTGAAAATTTAAAGACTTTTGAAACCTTTTGACAGCATGACGATTTTTCACTAAAAATAGAAGGATAACGGAAATTTGTTCTTCACTGTGTTATTCTTGCAAGTTGGCGTGCGATCATCAATCCCTCAAAATTAAAATTACAACCAAGGCTGAATGGGACATTCAGTGTTTTGATCTCACAGAAGGAAAAGGTGAAGGTTGGTTATCCCTGCGTAGAGCCTAATTGCTGACCAAAGCATTCAATGTTTATCGAAAATGTTTCATTTAAACTGCCAACCTACTAATTAGAGGAGAATGGAGGGATAACCCACGGCGTTAAGACTGATTGTGGAGGAATAATGGATGGCTGCACCAAATTTCATCCCAATCCATAGTTTCTAAATTGAGAAATCAAACCTTGTAATTGTGGTTTGGTTTGTATGAATTTGCTAGTCTTTTTTGCAGTAGGAAACCTTGTACAAAACTGTGGTAATTTGTTCTGTCGCTGCTTGTGGATTTTATTTCTGTACAAAAATGATGGCTGACCATAATTACCATCTTTGAATCCACCTTGTTTGAGTGTCATCTGGTGTTTTACATGGACATATCCTGCTGAGATAGTCGACTCACCGGTAAAAGATCTGACTATGTTTTAAATCTGTCACACCTCACCACCTCTTCGCCTCCTCTGGCCTCTTTAACAGTCAGATGGAGGTAAAAGATCTAAACATTTGGGACCAGCTGTTGAGAGTTTAAAGAGCGGAGGTGTCATTAAATTCTGGCAGCGAGCCACGCCATCAAATTTATGCGGGCTGCAGTGCAGTTCCCTGCTCAGCTTCCTTGTCGAGTGTGTGACAGCAGGTGAGATCAGAGGCGCTCTGAATAAAGAAAAGCTCACCTATCGTTTCACCAACAAGACTCCATCGTAGAGGACAGAAGAGTCAAGCGTTAGTGATCTTGAAACAGCAGACGTCTGTTCCGTAAAACGACACGTGTATGTGTCAGACACAGCAGAGGCAGGCATACAGGAAACTGAACAGAGGTAAACACTGTGAATTAATGCTTGTTTAGGCGAAGTCCAGGCATGTAACAAAGTGGCAAGTTTTACAAAATGACAATAGTTTGGAAATTTTATCACATAAACCCATTTTTGCTTAAGTTAGGTTGAGTACGATTATAGTAGAAAGTCTCAAATTAGAGACTGGAGAGTCATGTTTTTCAAAAATTGACCCTTTGGTATTTGTGCAGAAAAAACACATCAATTATTTCCCATCCCATTTGGAGATTGACAAAGAAAAAAAATGATGTTTTTGCTACAGCATGGTCTCGTATTCCTAGTTTGAGGGTCATTTTGGTCCAGATACTTGACAGACAAAGAAGTTGATAAGAGTGTTTGCAGAATGGCCTTATCAACCCCGAACCTCTTGTACTTGACCTTTCCGCCCATCATTACCACCAACCTGCGCAGATATGTCAAGTACAGTTAAGAAGGAGGAGGACTTTCCAACTGGTTGCCATGGAAATCTTTGATATACTGAACTGATAGAAATTTGCCACCCAAACTTGAAGCTCAAAAAGAGCTCTTACGTCTGTAGCGACCCTGATGTGTGAAACATATTCCTTAAAACACCTCAAACATTTCATAAGACCATTTCATAAGCACATATCTGCGTGTATGTTGAGAAAAGTGGCTTTTTAAAGTTGCTGGTAGATGTGATCTTTGTCAGGGGATTACAGCTTTGTCAAAGAGGTGACCTTCCACCTGAACAACATAAAATCCCTCATGAAGTTTAAACTTTACTTTTTACATTAAAATCTGTCCACATTTTTCTCAAATTTTTGCAAGTCTAGTTTTCACTTCACAACTATAATGAGTTTAAAAAGCCAGAAGGCAGTCAGCGTGAGCAGATGGCGATATGTGACATTGTGATTGATTGATTCTTTTTACCTCCAGGTTTTGAAACTTAAATAAATACATAATTTCTGTTTGAGTGCCTCTGCCGTATGGTGACTCTTACATCTAGTTTTTTTGATTCAACACAGACAAAAGTGTCAAGAGTATAGAGATGTGGTTTGATCAGATGTTTTACTTTGGGTTATGAATTCACTTCTGTTTTTGGAACATACCTTATAGTGACCTTATAGTGTGATCTTAATATAATACAAATTGATTCGATATGATATGATACAAAATGATATGATATGATACGAAACAATAAGATACAATACGATAGGATATGAAACGATACAATATGAATTGATACGACATGATATGATACGAATTGATACAATACGATATGATACGATATAAAACAAAACAATACAATATGATACGAAACAATAAAATACGATACAATATGATACGATACGATACAAATTGACACGACACAATATGATACAAAACAATACGATATGATACGAAACAATATGATACGATATGATTCAAAACGATACGATACAATATGATACGAGACGATACGATATGACACAAAACGACACAATATGATATGATAAGAGATAAGATATGATATAAGATACAATACAACATGATACGATATAATACAATATGATACGATATGATACGATTAAGTTGTGCACGTCTCTTAGCCAAAATAGCCAGTTTATTGAACTTGTTTGAACATTTGTGTCTCCCACTGTCAAAAACTTCTCACATATGCAATAGGAAATACAGACATATTTCCTGGATGCTTTCCAAAATAAAAGCCCAATCTTTTTTTTTCTTTTTGTAGCTGCTTCTTTTTTAAACAATGCTCTTTTTCTAAAGGTGAATCCTTAACAGTTATTGAGTGAAAGAAACGACTGTCAAAGTTCTTCATTTGGAGCTGTGCTTAACTTTCTTTCAATTTGGCTTTTCAACTCAAAAACACAGAATTACAATAATGATGAGGGGTAAAAGAATAAGGCCATCTGGGCAAAATTTGAGCTTAAAAAATCAGATATAATTTGAAAATGACAAATAATGAGTACTAAAATCTGAATGGGATCGTGGAAAAGTATTGACAGCTGCTAACTACCACTATTAAACTTTAGCTGTTTTTCATTTAGAAATTGTCTTTTATAACTTTTGTTTTCGATGGTAGGAGTGACAGAACAAGATCTGAAGTATCTCTCTAATTGAATAAATCATGAGAAAATGAGGGAACAAAAGGGCGGTTGAAATTTTTCACCCAATGAACGACAACTGTTGCAGAATTTTTGACAGCTCAAGACGCCCAGAAGCAAACTAGCATGTCAGATTTGTTGTCTTTGCTTTATCTTAGTGCGACAATGCTTCCTCCTTCTCTTGTAGACTCAGAATATAATTCACCCTCCCCTCCATCTTTCCCCCTCCCACTCACTGTGTCCTCTCTGTGGACCGAAACACACAATGGGCTGAATGTTGAGTGCTGTTGAAGAAAATCAGTAAACCAAAGGCGTGACAGTCAAGAGGTTTTTAAAAACAAAAGCAAGCCGTGAGCTAAACTCTGAGAAAGTGTGATTTTTGATTGTAAGACAAAAAAAAAACTCAGTACTTCATCTTTTCAAGTTAATAAATCTTGATTCATGCGACTGGAGACACACCCTTCACACAGTCTCTTGGTTCTGCTGTGAACCATGGGAGAATCATTCTGGTAAATTAATCTTGTCTCTCCAATATGCGGTTGACTCACTCGGGCCCTGTTCTATCGCTTTGACAAAGTGCTGAGGGACAGCTAACGAACCAGATGCCCTTACAGGCACCTGAAAGGAGAAAGTGAAAAAATGAGGAGATACTGCTGGGTTCATTTCCCTGTTCACTCAGATAATAGACTTTTTTTGAACCTGAGAGCTGCAGCTTAGATAATCGTGTCACCTCGGCTTTTTATCTCACTCATATCTGCGGCCTGCAAACTCATCTCCATACAGAGTGAAAGCACTGCAGCAAAACCATCATGAATTAAAAGCTTTCAGGAAATTTCATGACTATGAGGAGCTTTTTTACACTGATGCCACATGGTTTTCTGTGCTCTGTTTAACCACACCAAGTCAAGGGCTGTAGACTTGGAGAGTGTCAAAATACAGATGCTTAAAATCAATTTTTTCAGGCGAGCTCAAAACAGGGATAGTAGAAACATGTCACCTCTGAATGGTGATCTTATCCTCAGGTCCACACTCTGTCACCTCAAACTTAAAAGTTGCCAAAACCTGAACTTCTTCGTTCCCTCGCCTGCAACAGTAGCTGCGTTTACATGCAACAATTTCCCCAATACTATTGAAAACAATCGTACTGAGTGATCGGATGCGACCTGTTTACATGAACTTAAAATAAAACGATCCACATTTAGTCTGTGTTTACAGGGGTCCAGCTGAATCCGACTGACATGCGCAGAAAGCCTCTCTACCAATAATCTCGCCATTGCGTGATTTACAGCCATCAAGCCTCTCAACAATTTTGAGATCTCATAGTGTTTCGATTTAAAAAAAAAAGTTTAAAGGAAGTGTCTGTGTAGTTGTTGGCCTGGGACAGCAATGAGCTAAACTGGGAAGCATCTAGCAGCCCTGTCAGCAGGTCTTGTTTACGAACGATACTGTTAAGAGCTAGATCTGCTGAGCCTAATGATCTGGATCACTAAAAAGAGCCTGGATTCCCATCACTAGACCATCAAACCTTGCTAGATTTGACCTCTCTGTTGTAGCAGGAGATGGTCGCGACTGTCAGACTTCAAGCAAGTTTAAACATTTACTTTCTCAACAGTGTGGAAATTGATGATAATGCTTTCTGATCTTTTCCTGTTCATGTTTAGGTCATATTTCTGATTTAATAAAACTTCAATTGCTGTCTTTTAACTCATTCAGTGCCAGGTTCACTTATGTTATTTTCACCCAGTGCCGCCATTGACCGCAATAGAAATTTCTGTGTTTTTCAGGACCCCCAGAATATCTTGTGCTTGGACTAGAATTAAGTTCAAAATTTCAAAAGAAAGGGGTCTCTAACCCACTCCTGTGTTTCGTTTGTGCCTGCATAATGCAGCGTGGTCATATCATCTTTCCTGATCTGGAAAAAGAAACCTGGGAAGAACAATTTTTTACAAAAGTGAGACCTTCAAGCAGAAATCTGATCATCTATTTCATGTCACTTCAGACTGCTTCACGGGTGGCATCAAGGCCCTCCCTCCTTGGATACCACTCAGCTCTAATTGTGTCGTAACCCTCATGGACTGCTCGCGTCCTTGTTGCTGAATTCCAACTTAGTCTCGCTCACCAGTACCGGAACCGGCGGCACAACGACACGCCGGAAAATTGTGTCTCCCATTGTCTCCTCTGGATCCAGAGACGGTAGCACCGTGCCGATGGGAGCGATGCACCGGGACCGTTAGCTCTTGCCTAATGACTTCGGCATTTTCCTATTCTCCTCATAGAGAGAAAGCACTCCACAGCTAGACTAATGGGCACACTTGATGGCACGCTTCTCACTGGCGAGTACTTTTTTTGTTATTGCAACATGGTTATGATGTATTTGTCGGCTTTTCTGAGTTCAGAACGACCCTAAACTTAGTCACATGTTGGGAAGGAGCGCCCTCTGGCAGATAACAAAAAAACTGAAAAATCCACCATTGGCACTGATGATGAGTAATGGTCAAATGTATTTTAAGTGGGGAAAGTAAAAAAGCGATTTTTTGAAGTGTGCTGGACATAAAACCAACCCCCCCTTGCAGCACTTACAGGTATTAAAAAGGACATTACAGAAATTTGCAAATGTGCTTGTTTGCTTCTGTAGGTCATTAGAGTTATCACTGTTAGTTTCATAACCGGACAAATTTCCTCATGGGAGCTTTGAATGTTTTTCTTGAGGTTTTCAGCCACAGCAGGAAACATTTCTGCACCAAATCCACACAGGAGAGCTTGTAAAATATTGGATATTTTTAATGAGACCAAAGATCTCAGGAAACCAAATCTTTGTATCCAGTAAAGTTATGACAGTGAGGCGTCTGCAGCCACTTCAGGGACAGATTTCCTTCAAGTCAGGTGTATGTGGGACAACCAAAGATTCCTAATGACTGTGTGAGATCAGCGACAGAGTGTAGATGCATTTCCTGCACATGTATATTTTGAGAACTTCTCCTGGTTAATGAAGAGTTCTCGTCTCTGTAAACTAGTCAAACTCAAAGTGTCATGTGTACTAAAGCTGGACCATTTTGATCTGTGATTACCTTCAGGGCTTTAAAGAAGTCTGCGTCTGTGTGTGTGTGTGTGTCTGTGTGTATAAAAATATGGAAATTACACTGTCAAGCAAAAACCAGACCGCCTGTACCCTCATTGCTCTAAGTGCCAAAATGTCCCAATTTTAGAAAATGTATTCTCACCCTGATGTCACACCATGGAGGAAATCTGGCAGCCTGATGGCCCTCTGGTCCCCATTAGTGCCCCGCTGTGGGTACAGGAGTCCTTCTGTTCCACGCCGAAGTGACCTTATAGTGTGATCTTAAACAAAATGAAAAATAACATTAAGTGCACATAAAAGTTAAGCCATTTTTCTTTTATCCCGCTTCTTGTCCTTGAGTGACTTGGTAGAGATGCACTCACCAGCTCTGAT